CTGATTAAGTCGTTGGTCAATGTATCCTCCTTGTGTGAAAGACAATAGATCGTCCTTTAACGTATCTAATTCGCTTTTAAATTTACTAATGTTTTCCATTTGTACTTCTTGTTTCCTTTCTTGTTCCAGTTGCCACTGATGTAGTCTCTCTTCTTGTTTCTCTTCTTTTCCTCCAACAACTGCTGTAATCTCTCTTCTTGTTTATTTTGTTGTTCGAGCTGCCACTGTTGCAGGTTTTCTTGCAACTGTTGTTGTCTCTCTTCTTGTTTCTTTTGTTGTTCGAGCTGCCATTGTTGCAGGTTTTCTTGCAACTGCTGTTGTCTCTCTTCTTCTTTTCTTTTTCCTCTAACAACTGTTGTAATTTCTCTTCTCGTTCTTCTTGTTTCTTTTGCTGTTCTTGTATTGCTGCCATTAAGTCTGCTAGGCTGTAGTTTGATTTGCCGCTTCTCGTTTCCATTTTTTTTTATCCCACCCTCTGACACCAGTTTGTTACGTCTCCGTTTGTCAGTTGATTTTCCGTAAATTCGTTCTGACGAAACTTTAGCGACACAAGTCCTTACTTAATAAAACTGGTTTATTCTTTCCGAATATAACTTTACGATACACTTAATTTCAACAATCGAGCTAAAACAAACGCTATAACAACGAACGTGCTCAACTTCAACAATACTCTCTGACTGTAGATCAATTACTCACTGTCTACACACATATTATCACGTCACGCCGTGACCATCTTATATATACCAGACCCCCCCCCCCAATCTAGTAAATGCTAGAGCACTCCCGAAGGAACGGGATAGTTCTAGAAACGTGGCGTGATACTAGTCACGTGACCTCGCTGACGCAACAATATCAACCATACAGGACGATCATGTTTGGCCACAGGGATTCGAACTCGCGACCCTCAGATTACAAGCTGAGCGTCCTAACCAGCAAGCCATGCCAGAACCTAAAATAACGTTCAAATCACAAATAAATATCAAGAGATTATTCACAATGATATATTTTAACAATCAATTATATTTCACATTTCTATAATTTGTAGCTTAGTTCACAGTGCGACTCGTAAGAAAATTAAAGCTGACGGAAGGATGTTGACGTCATCATGTAGTGTAGCTGCTTCTCTCCCTGTGTGTTAACGGAAAGTTGAAAAAAATGTTCACATTTTTGCGGAACGTTAGCAAGTTAGCCAATAAGAATATATCGTCCTATATTTCAAAAATGGCGACAGCTAATGAAGACAAACACAATTGAAATTGCGACTGGTGTACTCAATGTATTGGTATTTATTATACTTTTGGCGGTTTTAGGTATAAACATTTTTTGTTTCTTTGCCTTACTGTTTACTAATTTAAATGTTTTGTTTGTATTTTTTTAGTTTACTTCGTGGTTTATATGTGTTATTTCTACAGCTTTTCCATTCACAATATGTTTTAAACTTCATGTTAATCAATCAGGCCCATACGCCGAATGTTTGAAAGGGGGAGTTTTAATTTGTAAGATCAAAAGCCATCTGAATTTGTGTAGATAATATAACCCTAAAACAGTACGGATAGCTTCACACTCTTAATAGAAATAGCTAAACAACATTTATACCTGTTATTCAACACACTATACACTTATTCTTGAAATCCAAATACCACATATAAACATGTAATCAAATATAAAAAATACAAGTAAAAATAAAAGTCACCCCATTCCAGAGCTGACCTGACCCTCCTACGTCTACACAAAACCTAAATTCCGATGATGATCCGAGAGAAAGATCAAAAGCCAATAAAAATTGTGCGAAGCACAATCACCATGCAAAGCATGATAATGCAACGGTGGTCTGGGCGCAGGCCCCCAGAAAATTTGTAAAAGGTAGGTGCTATGAGGTTAAATATGGGAGCAATTTTGCATGAAATATAATTTAAACAATTACATGGTTGTTCACACAAAATCCACAAACAACTGAAACGTTAAATACCATAAACAGCTGCGCTATAATTATGTAAGCAAAATATTTTTACATCACAAAGATAAGAGATTCGGCTGAACTATCCCCCCCCCCCATCCCCACTACGTGCGTGCCACTACACACCTTCTATTCAGACTTCAATGACAACAAATTAAGTGTATTCTGAAACGATCTATGGATTATGTAAATAAAATATTTTTTTCATTCTCTCCAACGTGTTTGTCTACTAGGGACTTTTCTGCACCTCACGAATCTATCGCCAATAGTTGCAGCTTTAGTGCATCGATCTGTTTAAGCTGTTAAGCTCAAAGCTACACAGTGGGCTGTGTTTTGCCCAACGCGGGTATAGAAATCCGATTTTAATATTATAAGCCCCTAAACTTACCGTTGATCAAGTACAATGTGTGGAACAGAAGTTATATTAATTTCGTAGTAGATCACCCATTTACTTGTGAGAAATTAGTTGCTTTGTACTGTATCTATTATATACTGAAAATACGATCACACCTTACCATCTAAATGTGCATACTTTATTCCAACGAATGTAAACAGAAGGCGGATGTATATATGCTTTAGAAGACTTTTGTACAACATATTAAAAGCTTATCAGAGTTTTCAAAAATGTCTAACGTTGGATCGTAGAATAACATTATCAGTTTATTTATCGGTAGTATTAAGTATGGTAAAGTTAGCCCTAACTAAACTAAAACAAAAACGTACACAAATGATAATGTTAATTTATGCCTATCGAATATAGGCCGTACTTAATAAAGGCTTAACTGATGTTAGGCCTAAGACAAGTGGTCTTAAAATATTTGGGTGTTTGCGATTAAAATTATTTTGTATTATTCTAGAAAGCCTGTATTTAAAGAAGTACTGTTGCAATAAAGCAACTAATTTAACCGTGAATGTTTTGCGGGTCTCTGCTAGTTATGTATTATAAAAAAAAAAGTTCCATAATGCGCTTTATGGATTTTTATGTTATTTTGATATTTACGTGTTTCTGAATATATCTCTGACCCAAATGCTTCGTTTGTTTCTTTGTCGTCTTTATCTGATCAATTTCCTTAAGAGAAACAAAGTAAAGCCTAAACCACTGGTAAATGTTGTCAACGCAGCCAGTATTTGTTGATTTCACGCCTTCAACTCCTCCACAAGTCTGAATAGTGTAAAGTGCACACCGTTCCGGCAAACGTTGCTATCTCAATATTACGTTCCTTACGCCTCGCAGTGTGAACTATAACTTTAACTCCTCTAGACAATTCCTTGCCAGACAATGAGATAATATAAAAAGCGGGAATAACGCATCGACATAATAATGCACAAAAGATTAATGTATTAACAAAACACACAAAAAACCCTCAACTACTTTCGACAGGCTAAGCTTGTCATTCTCAGGGGACTGAGTAAAACTGTTCTCAATTTCTTGTAGGTTCAGGTTCAAAACAATCCACAAGGGTCAACGCTCACTAACGACAATAGAGTGCAAAAACTAATTAGAAAAAAACGACTTTCAAGTAAGGTTGGGTTAAAATCCCATTTCCTTATTGAGCATGTATTCTCTATTTTAAAATATTCCAATCCATTATTCTGTGTTACGTTGATCGAAAAATTTAGGGTGAGCAATGCTTTTTTGATTGATCGAAATTAATTGTGTGGTTAGTTGTGTGAACACATAATGCTAAAGTCGATTTTTCAACTTCCTTTCGAAAGCATGTCCTTTTATCCTAATTAAAAGAGATCGTTTTGTATGATCAATATAATCATAATTACAAGAAATGAGATAAATACCCTGTTTGTAGTGAGCTTCTATCTTTCCCTTTGTTAAATGTATTTGAAAGTTGGTTTGTAAGCTGTTTTAATTTTGTTTCGTTTTTGATATCGAAGGGTATTAGGGTGGCGTTAGATAAGAGCCATATTTTGATCTATCAACAGTTGTTTGATTCACTTTGGTACTAAGTTTTTAATTTTATTTAACTAATCAGTCATTATGTTAGCTTCATACACTTGGAAAACAGCAGCATCGTTGAGATAGTTCAATTCATCATGAATACCTTCTTTGTCGAAACAAATGTTCAACATACGCTAATAGGAGTAAGGATGTATAGATGATTGTGTGGAAACAGACTCGCACTTTCTTGCTTAAGCAATATTTCTGTGCGGAACTTGCTATTTGGGCATCGTGTAACAGAATAGGGAAGTGTATCTGATCATTACTTTCTAGTTCGTAAGTGAATTGGATGAACTGAGTATAGTTTTTCGTGAAGCTGTTTAATTTAGTTGCTACAATCAGGAAGTAAGGTTATCGACATATCGTACACGGAGATCATGTTTTTCATCCAATTTATTTAATGATCGAGATTCGAAAAATTGTTTAACGTTGTCATTCTTAAATAGAATAATCCATACAAAAAACGGAAAACTAAATACTCCATCTGTTTTTATGTTACATATTTCAAAGAATACTGCTACTTTAGCCATACCCTACTTGGGCATTATTTCATACATGATTAAGTAAAGAAAATTATCAAACAGCTATCAGCTGTATCCACAAGTTCAGTTCAAATGTATCTTTAAAGCAAAGTCTAAGTCAATAAGGCTCTTAAATTCTACAAACAAACAATATCCATCGAATATTTCGCTAGTGGTATAAATAGTTCACGTGCCCGAGACACAATCAGGGATATATTAAATAAACCACAAGAGGGCTATAAAGTTAAATAAAAAACATTGTAACACGAAAATCTACAACACCAGTAGTATTACCAACCACTGTCTTAACGAATATAATTGTATGCCTACTTCCAGATTCTTCTGCGTCATCTTCCCTTCCCCAATACAATCCCAACTCAGATTAATAGAATTTCTTGCCATTAAGTTAAGATGACTATTTCTTAACAAGAAGATGAGCACATTGTCATTACATCTTCAATTGTGAAAAAGTAAAGAAAGAACAGGACATGAATTTCGATTGTTGAATATGAGGTAGACTAAAAACTTGGTTAACTTCTCAAACAAATATCAATTCATTTAAGAACTTCTTTTCAAAGTCATCCATAAAGATATCAAAAAGAAGAGGGGACTGCAGATTACTGTTAAAAAAAAATCCATATTTAACTAGAAATATGAGTTGCTAATACATACGTTGAAAAGATGTATAAGTTCATCTGTTTCAATAGCCGAACTAAAAATTTAATCTAATATTTTAGACAAAGGTCTATCTGTTGGAACTTTGATGAATAAGTCGAAAGACACCATACGTTTTTCTTTTAATCGTCTATATGTTAACTTGGTAACAAACTCACAGAAGTTTTTTCAGTATAGTTATTTAAATCCACTAACGATGATAGTTTGTGCGCTGTTTGGCCCAAGGATAGATCGGGGTATTTATTGTTAGATTTTTTGTTTTGTCAATTCTTTAATCATTCGTGCATTATTATGCTGTGGTGTTACAGTTGTTGTTGTTTTTAAGGAATTTGCAAAGACTACTTCTCCCTCTTTAACTACACAAGATTACACAGTACCTGTCTAACAATTTAGCATTTGTTTTATATGATTAGACCCGAACTTAATATCCACAAGTCATACCCACAAAAACATCAAACATATCAAATCCAGATAACTTCAGACTTATTAAAATACTCAGTTTTTTAGGTAAAATAGTAATATCTGATATATTATTGTATTTTTGCGAAAACAATAACCTTCTCTCTAACATTTAAAATTGATCTCGTAAGAAGAGACAAACCATAGGCCATCTAACACGCCTAACAGAATCCATATATATATATATATAAACCTTAACAATAATCACTCAACAATAGCAACTTTTTTGGATGTTGAAAAAGCCTTTGGTAGCGTATGGCACAATGCCCCAAGATTTAAGTCACAGTTAAGAAACATAAACAAAATAATTATCAGGTGGATCTCTAACTTTTTCCTAATCGCACTGCACCAATTAAAAAAGTGCAAACACAACAAAACAGAGCTTCAAGACTGACCCTTAGACTTCCCAGATTCACCCCAGTCAGTTACTTACACAAAGTAAGTAACATTCCGCTATTAAATGACAGGCTAGCTAGAAACTATTACCGCAAAGCAGAAAACAAAAGTGAATTAACAACTACTCTTAACAAAAACATTAGTGCACTCATAAGTTAATATTATCTTACAACCTATACTGTATAGAAAACACAAAACATGTATAATTAAAACTCAGAGACAATTACAAATTTTCATATTTTGCCTTACATCTAGGCACAAGTCAAATAGATTTTTCGGCGTCTGTCCTGTGAAATTGGGTTTTTTCCGGGATACTCTAGTTTTCCCCAAAACCAATTTTTTGGGGCACTGGATCACTAAGTCCAGGTTCTTCTGAAAAGGGTCGTATCCTACAATATACCCTATAATAAATCTATCAAACGGATCAATTATTATTATTTAATTTTCTTTTCTTTTCTTTATTCTTCTTGTTATTATTCCTTTAAGTCCCAAAGACTAACTTTTCCTAAGTCCATAATACTGTTTTCGCGATGGTTCTTTGTCTTCACGGCTCTATTCCCCTTTCTCATGCTCACGAGGTGGATAAGCGAGAAATTATAACCACTTGGTTAGCCCATCAGCTCACGAAGATCAAACTCAGCCCATCCGGCTAACACTATAGCGCGAAATAATTTTACACAAACGGGGCGAAGGGTAACTGAAGTTTCAGAACATCACAATTGGGAAGAGCTGGCAGACTCGCCAGATTGGACAAACTCTTCTTCATAAACTGAATTCCTGTCACTTTTAAAATGAAATAATAATAACCACACATAACCGCTAGTGTCTTAGTATAAAAATACTCTTAGTGTGTAATATAAACTAAATAGTCAGGTGAGCTAGCGTTTTAAGGCAAATAAAATATAGCTGAACTGAACGATACGAGGAAAAATTAGATATATGATATACAAAACCGCAACTAAAAGTAAAAGTAGAAATCGATACCTCATTTACATAGCTACATACTGTGATATTCTGCAATATGCCTAGAATATATTCCGGTTGACATCACATGCGATTGAAATTTTGGGGATGCCTCATATCTCTATTGAGTAGGACAAACATTGTTCTAAAGATATATGCTTTTAATGTTATATTATATGAGAGTGATACTACGGGTGTAGCGTTTGTTTATAAAAATGTCGAAGATCATTCCCTTTCGGAGTTAAAAGGATGGTTTGAATTTAGTGGCTCACTTACAAGCTAGTTAAAATAAAGCAAAACTACGTCTAATCTTAGAAACGAAAAAATAATTGATAAAACCTGTGTCTTGTATAGTGTTACGTCTCCGTTTGTTAATTAACTTTCCGTAACTTCGTTCCGACGAAACTTTAGCGACACAAATCCTTACTTAATAAAACTGGTTTATTCTTTCCGAATACAACTTTACGATACACTTATTTTCAACAATCGCGCTAAAACAAACGCTATATCAACGAACGTCAATAATACTTCTGATTGCAGTTCAATTACTCACTATCTACACACACATTACATTACATTCTCCTGTCACGTTGTCACCCTCCTTTATATACCAGTCTACCCTCCATCTAGTAAATACTAGAGCATTCGCCAAGATACGGGATAGTTCTAGAAACGTGGCGTCACACCAGTTATGTGACTCGCTGACGCAACAATATTTAGTAGAATTTTTTTCACTTCAAATTGAAACATGAAGATTTAAATTATTTTGCTGTATTGCATACAACATTGTTTTAAACAGCTCATTATAATGGTTTTGGTTCATTGTGTACATTCATAAATCCTTGAAATAAAAACTAAAATAACTTACATAAAACTATAAAATACACAAAATATTCTGAAATATTGTTTATCCCATATCTACTCTGTAACAATTTCTCTAATATATTTCTTTTGGACGTGATTTTAAAGTCAAATAATTTATAAATACTTTCCTTATAAATATTTGTGGTTATAATATTGTTACGTCTTCGTTTGTTAATTAACTTTCCGTAACTTCGTTCCGACGAAACTTAAGCGACACAAGTCCTTTCTTAATAAAACTGATTTATTCTTTCCGAATATAACTTTACCGATACACTTATTTCAATATTCGCGCTAAAACAAACACTATAACGAACGAACGTTAACTTCAACAATACCCTGTGACTGCATTTCAATTACTCACTATCTACTCACTCACATTACCTTTCGTCACCCTCTTATATATACCAGCCTACCCTATCTAGTAAATAATAGAGCATTCATGAAAGAACAAGATAGTTCTAGAAACTAGAGGGCGCCACACCAGTCACGTGACCTCGATGACGCAACAATATATATATATATATATATATATGTAGATAACATCATTCTTTAAAATTTTACCTCATACTGAAACTGTTTAAGTCACTTAGTTCTTTAACATTCTAAGCAACAACTAGAACAACAGTAAACAGAGATTCAAACCTATATCTTGTCTTGGACGAGTTGGCGTTATTTTCAGTTTTGGTGGCTCTCGTATGGAAGCCATGAGCTTTTCATGAGGACTGGTTATTTTTGGCACAGTTATGTATAACTTTCTTCTGCTAACCTGAAAAAAATATCCCAAATTTGAAACTACTGTACTAACTCCAACAATTTACTATTTTCAAAGAATATTACAAATTACATAATATGAAATGAAAAAAAAGATACCAGTACCTTCAGGTTGTAAAGATGACATGTATGATAAAATACAAAAAACAAAACTAAATCCACAAGTTTCAAAGATCATGTTTTATAACAGAAT